CCCCCCCCAAATGTCCTGATGAGAACTTTATAATATAAAAACCAGGCTGACACCACCTGAACCCACTGAATAATTTTTGGCTTTGGTAAAAGTGGGAGAAATGAACCTTATGCACCTGAATGATCATTGATATGATTGGAAGTGCACAACTATTGTACTATTGCCTAAAACCTTAATCTGAATCCAACCAAGCCTCCAGGTCTGACTACCAGTACATAGGGAATGCGGGGATAAGGGAACGAATTATATGGCACACAACAAAGAAGCCATCAGGCAAATTTAGAATGTGAGACATTCTACAGGACAATTTATTTGGTTTCTCTAAAAATGAATAATATTTTTTAAAGACATGTGGGGGAGTTGGGGGAGGCTGCCGTTACTGAATTTGAAAGTCTGCAGAGCCATAACCAAATGCAGGCACAGGCCCTGGGCTGAGTGGCTCAGTTGGTTGGGCGTGATCTCGTGCACTGGAAGCTTGCCTGTTTGATTCCCAGTCAGGGCACATGCCCAATGCAGGGCATGCAGGATTCTCACATTGATATTTCTCTCTCTCTTCCTCTCTCTCTAAAAATCAATTTTAAAGTCTTTTTTTAAAAATGCAGGCACAGATCTTATTTGGGTCCTGATTTCAACAAAATGACTTAAAGAATTTCCATTACTGCCCAGGCGGGCGTGGCTCAGAGGTTGAGCATCGACCTGGGATCCAGGCAATCAGGGCACATGCCCGGGTTGTGGGCTGCAGCCGGTCAATGACTCTCTCATAATTGATGTTTCTCTCTCTCTCTCTCCCTTTCCCTTCCTCTCTCTGAAATCAATAAAGATATATTTGGAAAAAAAAAGAAAAAAAGAATTTCCATTACTTTTTAAAGATGATAGTGGTATGGTGTTGGTTCTTTTGTTTAACTATCATTAGCTAGTGGTGTGTACTAAAGAACTTTTGGGTGAAATAACCTGATGTCTTAGATTTGCTTTAAAATACGCCAGGAGAAAAATGTGTGGGAGGGAAAGAAATAAAAAAAAGGTTGGTAAGGTGCTGATGATTGTTCAAGATCCATGTAGGAAGTTCATTAGACTATTCTCTCTAAGAAAAAATATTCGCTGGTGATTCTCAGCTCAGAGAGAATGACTGGAAAATGAGACCTCAAGGAAGCTTACAACATGCACACTGTGGAAGTTTTCTCCAAGGTCATGCAACTATTTAGTGCAAAGCAAAGAAATCAACAAACAAGTCTTAACTCCAAGCAGCCTATTTGGTATTACTCACTTGAGTGTGCGTGTATACATATCCATCAGGGTTGGCCACAGGCAACAAGAACACATCCATTTTCTCCAAGATGGAGGTGATGGCTGGTTCCTTCCCGTAATCAGATACAATCTAAGCAGAGATAACAAGTTTGTCGGCTGTGCTCTCAAAGGCTGGATTGTTAGGTCTAAGCCTGTATCTTCTGCAGACGCCCAGCTCCTGGAACAGCATCCACCCTCTGCAGCCTCCCTGCCGCCTTCAAAGACACAGCTCTCTGAAAAGCCCTGAGCACCTGAAAACCTGGGGACATGGCTACATGATGACATCACTTGCAGAGTCCTGGGCTGTCTTTCCTTCCAGGGGGTAGGAAGCGGGGAGTGGAAAGCCACACATCATAACAGTTATTAGGAATCTGAGCCCCCTGCCAGGCGTAGGGAAGATGGGTCCTCCACACCGCCACCCCTCCTCTCCCAGTGCTGGCTTAAAGTGGGCTTCCCAGAGGGACAGGCAGACAGCGTGAGGTCCCTGAGGGCCTGTGGGGCTAGGAAGGGGCTGAAGGCAAAGCTCATCTGAGTGTCGCTGCTGACAAGGCAGCTCCCTTTCTGCTGGCTATGGGTCAGTGTTTCAGGGCCACCTCTGCAGCTCATTAGTTCTCACTGCCATGAATACACAGTAGCTTGACCAAGGGGTTCTGACCTTTTGCTTCTCCAAAATGAAAAGGCCCCCAGCCTACTGTGTCTTCCCACCTCCTCCCCTGGGCCCAGCTTCATGGGAGGCTGCAGGGGAACCCCAGGTCCACCAGAACCCTCTCCTAAATACCAGGCGACATGACCTTCCTTGCAGTCCACATGGCCGTGGCCTGTGAGATCCACTCCCGGGAATGAATGCCTGCATTCAGCCAAATGGCGGGCCGCTGACTGTCATTTCCAGTGCTGAACTGTGGGAGGAAAAAGAGGCCAGAAAGTGACCCTCTTGGCCCGGTTCTCAGCTCACCTCTCGTCTCTTCAGCTTGCTCCCATTCATTTAATCCATTTAAGACAATTGAGAGACCAAACGTTCCTGAGGTCACCATGTATTTATCAGTTTATCCGTGACTAGGGAGCTTAATTGACTGGCTGGCTGGCTGGCTGGAGGGGTTGGAAGCAAAAGGGAAGGGGAAACAATTGCTATTGTGAATGACAATGCCAGTGTGATTAGAGATAATATTGTGTCTCTTGAAAAACCTCAAATGGTATCCCAACAGAGAGAGACAAGAGTGCATGAACCAGCCAGTTCTGGTTGATGAAATAAATGAATTCAGTTTTAAAAAGAGGACAAGGGGGTTCACTATCACACCAAATGGCATTAAATGAATTCTGGCTCCTGCCTTTTAGTGTCCCCGCTCCCCACCCAACAGAGCTTGGTGCGAATGAAGCCAGGGTCACAGATCGGCAAATAAGATTATTTTAGCAAGCAGCTCAGCAGCAGGCCTGCTCCTGCTGGTAATTTACCCATTGCTATCAGCCTGGGTTCTTCAGGGGTGACATGAAGCTAAGGGTTTGACAAATTCTTAGCATCATCAGCCATTCCATGGTTCGTGTCTCCAGATTCTTTTTTATTCATTAGGCTGTATTATTCGTGTAATTTATGCTACTGCCATAAATTCTCTACCTCCTTTGCTAATGTAGACCTGAATCTGTTTGAAATATCTAGAAATTAGGCTTTGCGCAGCCCAAGGATCATAGGCTGGGCTTAAAATTACATCAGCCCTAAAATTAGCTTCCTAGATTGCTTTTGCCCCTAGAAGCTGAATAGAATTTGTAGAACTAGCCCAATTTGTCTTGCTATTTACAGAAGGCGGGAATGAAAGAAGAAGACTGTGTGGCCTCTATGAGAGCTTTCTGGAATACTAACCTCCTCCCCACCCCCACTACCTCTGGTCTGAAGGCATCCCCTTAATCCTGCCTTTTAAGTCAAAACCTGGAATTCTAATGTGCAAGTAAGAGAATGTCTGTTGGAGCAAATTCGAACCCTGGTAGACAGCTCCCAACCTCACCCTCCTCCCTGAAGTCAAGGAGGTCCTAAAAAGCTGCCTCTGGCCAAGGTCTCATAGCTGGGTCCTGGGCACAAGGAACCAGGAGCCCGTGTCCAGTTCGGCCCTTCAAAGAGCATGGGGCTCACCTTCAGTACATACATGGGCCGGTTTTCAAACGAACGCCCAATCTTCACCCTGCTCGCCAAGTCAGGAAAGTCTCCGGCAATGCTGTCCATCTCCTGATAAATCTGAAGTGTAAGAAAGTGAACCCAGGGGCATTTTTAAAATTTGTTCAGCTTTGGGTAGGCATCTGTGAGCTTTATGTTGTTGATCTTAACGATTTCTTCCAGCCCCCTAACCATGGGGTTGACAATATAATTGGCATGGAATGCTTATTCTTGAAGAACTGCCTAAAGAGTGTTTTTCTATAGTTTTCTAGAAAATAATACATTTGTACCCATCCACAAAATTATAGTCCACTATAACTAGTTCACTGCTCCAACAATGTGGCCCTTTGCACCATACTAGACTGGATAAATAGCCTGGTCCCATTTAGCCCAGGTTCTTGGAATCAGTGCTCTCCAAACTTTTTTGATCACTTTCTCTATCAGTTAAAAAAACATTAGCATGCACTATATATATATATATATATATATGTAAAAATATAAACAGAAGTTGTAATAGTTTCTTCCTCCATCCCAGTGGACAGGCTTTCCAGTTTGGAGATGATTCCTGCTTGCAAAGGCTTCAAGAGAACAAATGAAGAGCTGTAAATCATGGCTGTGAATGATTTAGAGTTGCTCAAACCTTTTGAAGGTAAAAAGAACAAAATAAATTCATATTTAGACCTTAAAATTAGAAGAAGCACCTTTACAGAGGAGGAAAATGTGCAATCAATACGTAGAATAAAATCAAGCTTAAAGGGTTTATCAGAGTTGCAGTCAATATGGCAAATGGAAGCAAAAAAACACCCCCTAAATACATAGGCAAGCCAGATAAAAACACAATGAAAATTATTCACAGCCAAGTTAAAAAGCCAAAATGGGGGAAAGTGCAGGTGCCAGAAATGAAGAGGGCACAAGCTGGCAGAGTGGGGGGCAGTGGAGGAAGCCCACACATCCGCCTTAGGTGCCGAGGGCTTACAGCAAACCAGGACTAGGGATAGAGAGCACAGGGCCCAGCGTGGGGCAAGGAGCTAGAATTTGAGAGCTGGGAATTGGCAACTGAGCCATGAAAAGGGCCTGGAAACTCTATCCGCTGACCCTAGAAAGTGGAGCAAGCCGGATGCCTGCCCCAAGCCATGAGAGGAAAGAGAGTCACCCAGGAAAAATTAAAACACCAAACTGAGTCCAGCTGGAGGGGGGAGGGTGTCCAAATTCACATTCCCAACATCAGGGGAAAACTAACCTGAGAAACAAACAAAAATAACAGCAACCACAACACACACACACAGAGTCTGAAACTAGAAACCCTGGCAGAAACAAACATCAAATTCCCACTAGGGAACTAAGACTTAAGTGGCTGTAGGATACGAGCTCTTAAAAGCTGTTTTTAGAAAACACTGCATGCGATCAAGCCAAGAGACGACGATGGTAGCACCAACCCACAGTAAAAGGCCTCTCGGGGAAGAAGAGATAGCTGTAAACCAGATGACAATGGCACCTGAAGCCAGGGAACAAAAAGCCAAAAGCCAGTGTATCGCAAGTGAGGCTCCCGAGGCAGGCAAGGGAGCCCATGGAGTTGCCGGGGTCTTGGGTGACATTTGCAACTGGTTAGCTCAGCTAGGAAGTGCCCGGATAATGAAGCTAACATCATGGATTTAATCCCTGTTTGGACCCTGAGCTCTGCTTTCGTCTGTGGCCCTGGCCTGAACTCCTAACTTTGTCCAGCTGTTTTGCAGATGTATGTCATTGATCACAGGAAGGATCAAGGGGCAATGCAGATGGAAGTGTACACAGTAAACAAAGCTACTGATAATCATGGGAAAGAAAGGCAAATAGTTGGTCAGCCTTTGAAATAACCCCTCCCTGGAAGAAAAACAACTCCAAGTATATGTTTCATGAAAAGCATTCCCGGAGCACCATCTTTGGATGTAAAGAACAACACGCATTGAGGCGTGGCGAGGAGAATGCCAATATAGATTTGGAGAGTGTTCCTAAACTAGTAGTTTCCAGATTAATGAGGAAGACACAGAGGGACATAACAGAACTGTATTATACGTGATGCAAGTCCATTCTGTCTGCTCCTCTTGACTCCTCAAGTTCCAATATTGTATAAAATTATTCTGCTTCGAGTTTTTCATTTGAAGGGTTGGCTTACCTTGAAAGTCAGTCATCTATACAAAGTGGTTTCTAACTAAACACAGCACGAAAGTGCATTATGGAACAAATGTATGTTGTAAGTGGTCATGATAAATGACTGGAAATGCTTGGTTAACCTTGAAATAATCGCTTGTCTATTTGCCTGAATAAGTAACATTTTAACTTGGGTGAATAAACTATAAGGATCGTGGTGGGGTACAATGAGGTTAATTTACAAGCAGAGGAAATGATCGCCGGTGTTGCATGGCTTCCTTTAAGGGCTTGCTTAAGAAAACAAGGACGCATGTGGGAGAAAGGGTTCAGTTTGTCTTTTCACTGTGCTCTTGGGGGCTGGTGAGCACTGAGCACCCAAGAATTAGAAAGGAATCAAAGTGGACACGTTTTAGCCCCTCGGGGAAGGGCTATCATGCTGGGGACAAATACCTCCTGAAAGCAAGGAAAGGGGTCAGAAAACCCAGGAGACTGTAACCTTGATCTTAATCTGCTCTGAAACACTTACAGCGTCCAGGGAATGATAGGCCCCGTAGTTGAAGTTATTCCCGCTCCGTTCTTGCTCTTCGTTGTATTGCATTTCTTCATCTTCTTTGTCTAAAAGGGCCTAAAACAGACATGGCAACACTGTGAAGTGGTCCGTTGGAGATGGAGGCTCATGTTTCCGCCTTTTCTTGGCCCACGGGCCAGCCAAGACGGCGGCACCTTCAGCGCACAGATCAAACAACACAAATGCCAAGGTGTAAAGGGAGGTCAGATATCTTCCACATGTCTATAAAATCTTACTCCTTGTTGCCCATCGGACGTCACCCCATTCTAAACCCACTTACTCCCTGGAAGCAATATATATGCTACTTTGTTACTCTATACTCTGAATTTTCTAGACATCAGCCCGCATCTGGTACCCAGTGCCTCTGAAATACACAGCTTGGGAAACCATTCAGAAACAAAGAAATTCTTATAACCACTCATACTTTGAAGGCTCCTGGCAGATGTCTATGACATGTGAGGATGATTAATAAGCTCACAGCTGCTCACGCCATCAGGAAACTCCCGGGCCAAATCACCAATTAGTCCATAACCCACCTCGGTGAAGGAGAGAACCTGAGCCAGACACTGTCCTGCTGTTCAGATACAGGTCGTGAGGCTGGTGCCTGGCTAAGCTGGTGATGTTCCCTCTGCTGGGGGTTGTTGGTGACATTCCCCTTTTCTCAAAGGATGCTTTTTATGACTGGTCTCCAACTCCCGCCCCACTCTGTCCTTCCCTCCTGACTTCAAATAAGAAAAGGGAGAAAAACTTAATACTTGTGGACATCTCTGACAACCAGGCACTGTTAGACATGTTGCATACACTTAATCACTTTTCTCAATAAATCGTAAGAAGTAGTTATCACTATTAACATTGTAAAAATGAAGAAACAGAGGCTCAAGAGGTAAAATGCTTGTCCAAAGTCACACAGCTAGCAGTTAGCAAAATCAGGGTTTGGATCCAGATCTGTCTGATTCCCCACCCCATGTATGCTCCTCTACTAAACATGCCCCTTTAACAAGCCATTGCACTTTACTTCCAAGTACTTCAACGTCTTCAACTATAAAATGGAGGAAAATGAGACCAGAACTTGGAAATGTCTCAGGTCCACTCTGGCTGCTTTGTCCTGTGCAAGACAAGTAGGGGGCCTTAGTTTACCCACCTGCAGGTCTTCAATGGTCACTGAGTAATCAAAGCCTTGAGACTTGAGGAAGAATTTGACTGGCTGCAGGCTGACGGATGGGACCAGGACATCCACAGGACTACCCAAGGTGGAGGAAGATTTCCAGAGGTTGAGCTAAAGAGAAGAGAGAAACCAGGTTGAAGGCCAGTTCAGGTAACAGGCATAATGAGCCAGCTCATTCTTCTAGAACAACTGCCAAAAGTCAGAGTGACACCTGAGGAGCTGGGTTCTGCCCAAAGGCAGACTTTGCCCATTTCACAATTGTATCTGGTCAGACCTGTCCAGCAAGCAATGCCCGGCAAAGCCCAAGAAGTAATAATGTCAACGGCAGGTGGGAAGATGGAGCCCACTGCTGAGGCCTCCCACCTCCCAACACTGCTACAATATATAGCACTTCTCCCCCGCCAACCCTCTCAATCATGGAAACGCATGTTGACTGGGACAGAAACTCTCCAGAAATAATGTCAGTGGTGCAAGTCTTCTCCCACCAAAATTAGAAAATGCCCAAGAGGTCTAGAAAGAACCAGGTACCTTAAAGTTGTCTAAATTCACTAGCTCGTTTAGTTTGCTGATCTCGTCTCCATTTCTGACGTTAATCCTAAAAACTTGATCCCTGGAGAAAGAGAAAAAGAAAAAGAAAAGCAAAAGATAATGGTGAGCTTTCGGCTGGCAAATAATCCCCAAGTCTACTATCCCAGACATAATTGCGCCGAATGAGAGGAAATGGTCTAGCCTTTGGTTATAATGTATAGCCATTAAAAATAAGACTACGTGGCTAATATGAAAAAGTGCTTATGGTATAACTTTAAGGAAAATATTAAGTGAAAGAGCAGGACACAGAATTGTATGTATGCCATGATCACAAGTATGGAAAAAGCAGATGCATTGGAAGAAAAACAGACAACGGAAATACAGCAAATGCTGACAGTGCTTGTGTTCGGGTCGTGGAATTATGGATGACTGACTTTTTTCCCCCTTGTATCTGTTTTCTGTAATGTGGTCATATTACTTTATAATGAAAAACATATATATTTTGCAGAAAGGAATGTTCCTGAGCTACACGCGAAGCTAACTCAAGACATAAAGAAGCATTTCTTCACTGTCAGGGGCTAAGACTGAAACAGCCCAGCGCACAATGCAGGGTGCAGATGACGCTTTGTTGAGTTGTACCCCTGAAACCTGTGTGGTTTTGTGATCCAACGCCACCCCAATAAATTCAATTAAAAAATAAAATTTAATTAATTTTAAAAAAAGAAAGAAACAAACTCTGGCCTAAGGTCCATGCTGAAAAGAGCCAGAAAAGAGAACAGATCTTCCATCCCTAAAGGGTTAGCTATTTTCCTCTTAGCAAAAAGGGGAGAGGCTGGGTGTTCTTTCAATCTCTTCCAGTGCCAGAACTCTATAAAAATTCGAATTAGGTAAGGGCCAAGGTGCTGGGGCTGACCCTGCGATTCAGTCCTCCCAAGGGGACCCTGAGAGGGCCCAGAGGGAGCCGGCCAGTCCCGAGCCCCCCTTCATCGTTTGTCCTGCACTTGTTTCATATACACGGTTCAGCATCCACGGCAGCGGCAGGGGTAGAGGCCCCCCGAAGACCTGTGTGTGGGTGGGAGAAGTACAAGCCTGAAAAGCTGCCTTTGTGCTCTCAGCCGGCTCAAGTAGCCAGGGGAGCCATTAGTCTGTTGCTAGGTGACGGGCCCAATGAATCTGCACTCAACACTGTCACATGCGTCATCCCTTTGACACGAATGAATGCAGGAAGCGCTGGTGGAGAGAGCTGTGGGCTGAAGGACCTGTTGACAGAGAAAATGGCTCTGTCACAGGGAGCTAAACGTGCAGCCTCACGTGGCAGATCGGCACCTCCCCATCAGGAAGCCAGCTCAATCTGGATGGGCTCTCGGGGTGTACCTTTGTTCTGGGGGGTTCTCCGGGATCTCTGGGGGTATCTACTCCAGCCTCAAGGAGACAAGGCCCACTGAAGAGCTGCTTCCAACTCAGGTGGCAGGGCTGGAGGGAATGCCAGTGCCAAAGGCTCACTTTCTCCCGGTCTCCACAGGGCCCTGGGAGGTGGGCAGCTAACTGCATCCACAGGTGCTGCTGGGGCCGTGGTGGAGGAGCCACTGGCTGTGCAGCTCTCAGTCTGAACCCAACAGGCTTGCTAGGAGTTGGACTGCAGCCCTGAGAAGACGAGTCGAACCCCCATTTCCCTGACACAGGCAGGCAGCCTCACAAAAAAGGGAAGGGTTTAAAACAGAAGGGAAATCCTTACTCCTGGCTAAATACCAGGGCCCATCTGCCAAACTCATGCTCTGTCACAACCCATTCCCAGCTCCCCAGGAAAAAAAAAAAAAAAAGGTCTTAGAAGTGGTGTTCTAGAATGTGCCTCTGCACTGATATTGGCAAAATTAGGCATTTGTAAAATACAGCACTGACAAGAGCAATCACAAAGAAGCAGGGTAGGGAAACAGAGCAGGAAGAGAGGAAAAGAGGAACATAAAAAATAAGGAGCTCTCAGAAGTATAAAAATCATGTTACACATCTACCCAGAGCATTTGTTTTACTTTTTCCAAAGTTCTGCTTCACAACAGAACTTCCGTACTCTTGGAAGTCCTGACCGTGGGTCACAGAGAATCTCACATGATCAAACGCACAGCCCGTTTCATCGCGCAGTAAGCATCCCGGCTACAGGGGTTAAAGACGCAGCCGAGGTATTTAGAAAGGCGGCGGGGGAGATGTGCACCAGAAAAGGGGCTCTGCGATCTAAGCAAAAGTAGCCTCACAGAGTAATCTGATCATAAATTCCTAACTGGGTAGGTCCCTGTGGGTAGTCACGTCCCAGGTCTGTAAAAGGTTTATCTTCACCTTAAGCAAAGCCCTGTCCTTTGTTCTTGGGCTGCTAGGTTAACACACCTTGAATGCCTCTTTCTCAGACCCCTGGAGGGAGCACATAATCTTGTTAACTAGCCTCTAATCCCCACCTTCACGTAATCTTCCTTATCTTTCCTCTGTAATTCCAAAAGAAGAAAAGAAACTGCAAAACTGTCATTTTCTGGAGCATTTGAGATCTCGCTTCCCTGGCAGGTCATCTGCTTGGCTCAAATCAAATCAAATCAACTCATATAAAAATTCTCAACAGGTTTGGACATTTTTACACTGACATAGGGCTGGAGCAGGGTAGAGTCCTTCCCTGTCTGTCTCTGCTCCACCTCTCCCTCCTACACCTTCTTGGCTCTCGCCTCGATGAAATCCCAAATTCACCATGCACTTTGCCCTCGTGGCTTTGCACATGCTGTTCCCTCTGCCTGGATACCCAGCCCTTTCCCTTCACTGCCTAGCAATCTCCCACCCAGGCTTTCGGAACAGCTCCCATCACCCAAGAGGTTTTCCCCACCCAGAGGCGGCAATGCGAGGGCAGTCTTCAGATGGCGCTGAGATTGGGGAGACGGGGTTAACACCTTACTAACCGGTCACAAGTATACACCTGTTTCCGTGTCTGAACATTGCTGACCGGTCAGAGATTACTCGTGCCTGCACTCACATTAATTTAAGCAATTTTAAACACCTTGCTGACCGATCATGACAGGAAAGTAGCAGGCCAAACGGGCGAGTTCTGGCTCAAAATAGCCGGTCATCAAGTAACACTATTCCCATGAACATAAGTCCATCAGAGCCTGGAAGCAGAGACCACAAGTGAAGGGCAGCCTTTTCTTGTCCTCAAAGCCCTCGTCTCTGTTTGGAAAATGCCCTTCGCTGTGTGGGTGGCTGAATACAACCTATGACTACCATCTGGAAATCTATTCAAAGACCTTAAACTCGTTCTGACTATGGAAGATTGGCCTGGGAGAGGGGATATGATGGGATTTGCAGGTTGCCATCTCACCCCTCTGCGTCACACAGGTATTCTTACAGCTCTGGCTAACTCTGGCCCTCTCCAGTGCCCAGGGCTGTCCCACTGCTTCCTAACAATGGTTGGTGATCCCCTCTCACTCTCTCACACTTGTCCCATGTTCCGGACAGTCAATAGTCACCTTGGTGCTGAGCTTCTATCCCTCCCCAAGTGGCCTGGTCTTTGTACCTGTCTCACTGGAATCCTCAGCCAGGCTTAGCATCAGCCAGGAGTCCTGAGAGACGCGGCACAGAACTCTTAAATGCCTGCCAGTTACAGCTGATGCTGCAGCCAGTTCTGCAACTACTTCATGTTCTCTGCCTGCCTCACACCTCTACGCATCCTGGCCACCATCCCATCCTTAAGGTGACTGAAGACCAGGGCAAAACACACCAGCAAAGACAGACTAGGGAAGCGGGTGAGTTGAGTAGAAAGAACAGACTAGGGCGGAGGGTTTGGGGGGAACCATCATCTTCACCTCCTCAGCACTGTACCCCCTCCAAGCCAACTTATGTCCTGGCTTCCCAACCACTTGAATGCTCAGAGGCCTTGCTCTAAATGTTCAGCTCCTGGGACATGTCTATGGATCCCAGAAGGATCCCACCACCTTTGCTGGGTTCCATACTATGGAGTGAGACCAGATTTGGGGGTGAGGATGGTACTAATGGTTAAAACCATCTGCAATTAGCGCAGGCACACAGCCCTTTCTGTGCCCTCTCCTGTGGTGAGGACTCCAGCGCCCACTTCAGCTGTCTCAACTCAGGTGCCCACTGCAGGATACAGAAGTCTGTATCCTGAGACATATTTTTCAGCCACATGAATAGCTGCAGGGGGAGCCTAACAGCTCCAGGTGTCAGCCCACATGGCAGCAAGCGGAGTTATTACACTGAGCTGCCTGAGGAAAAATCTCCTTCCCCGGCCACCTGCTGTGCCTGATGCCTCTAAGCTATTTGGCATTAGAGACCAGGTGTGAACAGGAGTTATCACCATAAAAATTATAAGTACAGTGGTTCCCCCTTATCCACGGTTTTGCTTTCTGTGGTTTCAGTTACCCGAGAATGCACTCTGAAAGTATTAAATGAAAAACTTCAGAAATAAACAATTCGTAAGTTTTCAATTACACACCATTCTGAGTACCTCACTTCATCTCATCATATCATCTCACATCATCACAAGATGAAGGGTGAATATAGTACAATAAATATTTTGAGAGAGGCCACATGCACATAACTTTTATTACAGTATATTGTTATAATTATTCCATTTTATTATTATTGTTAATCTTGTACTGTGCCTAATTTATAAATTAAACTTCTCATAAGTATGTATGCATAGGAAAAAATATAGTATATATGGGGTTTGGTACTATCTGTGGTTTCAGGCATCCACTGGGGGCCTTGGAATGGATCCTTCACAAATAAGGGGGGTACTGTAATTACCTCAGCAAACAACCTCAAAGTCCCTTTAGCCAGATAGTATAACAGAGTACACTAGTAGATACAGACAGATCAGTGAGATATAGGATTCCATTTGGAGATTACCTTGTGTTACAGCAAAAGGGTGTGGGTTTTGCATTCAGAGTTCCAGCTCCCCTGTTTACCAGCTAAGTGGCCTTGGGCTGGTTTCTTAATCTTTCTGAGGCTGAGTTTTTTCATCTTTAAATTAAGGAAAATAACACCCCTGCCTGGCAGAGTTGCTGTGTGATCCAAAAGATAAGGCACACTAAAGCTTTTTGCAAATGGCAAAGCATTTATGCAGTAATGAGTTATTAGAATCCAATCTTCCAGCAGGGTACCATGGCATCCTTTCATCTCTCCTACCTCCCAAGCGTCCTCTCCTTTGCAAACCACAGAGCATTCTGTGTGGAGCACGTTGAGCATGTGTGTACACAGTGTACAGGTGAATCCTGGCACGTCAATTTTCAGAGCTATGACCTATCAAATCTCCATGTCCCAAGTGCTAATGAGAAAGCACCAGCTTTACTAAGCCTTCACCGTTAACAGAGAGGTGCAGCCAAAAAGCCTAAGACCCAGGTTTTCCCTTAAGCAGGACAGAAATTAGACCATTTCTGGTAATTCTTGTTAGTTCATAATATAGGAGTATGAAAGCAGAAGACGCCTGGAACTGACGTGACAAATAAGAACTAGGAAGAAAAAGAATTGGCAGGAGATTAGGGAGCTAGGGAGGACTGCAGAGGCCACCTAGTCTGATTTCACATGTAAAATTGAACCTGAGAGGCAAGTAACTTGTCCAGGATGACACAGGGCAGAGCTGGGACAGGAGCCCAGGTCTTCTTTCTCAATGCCATACCTCTTGAAGTATCATCTGTCACACATTTCCAAATTCATTGGACTCCCATACTCTGAACTAACCAAGTAATAATAAGTCCAAAGGGAACTTACCCAAAAAACTTTTCTCGGCCACAGAGGCTGGGCCCAATAAGGACCCCAAAGAAGAGTATCCACTTCATGTCCCAAAGGTGTCTGTGACACTGTGGCTGAGTCAAGCTATATTTATAAGGAATCTGCAATAGACTCAGTTCTCAAAAATGCTAGTGTGATTCCCAAGCAGCCTTGCAACTCTGGTGGTGGACAGGTGGGCCCTACCCATGACTCTTTCATTCCTTTGGAGTGATAAAGGCCAGCTTCCTGATTCACAAGATCAGGAACTTGCTCCTCGGGCTGGAAAACTCTGTGCCAAAGGTATCGTATTGCTCAACACTGTATTTAAATAGTGTTTTTTGAATAAATAGGAAGTCCCACAGCGCCGAATAGAATTTATACTAGTAGGAGAGGCCAGGTTGTAAACCTAAGGTGGAGTTACCTCTAGAGTTCAAAAAAAAAAGTGAGACAATCAAAGAAACCCCAAGCCAGCTCCAAGACCGCACACCTGACAAGCCTTGTCAGATAATTCACTAGAGCAGGTCATAACGATAACAGTTTGTGGCCTCTATTATGAATCTGACACATAATTCTTGGGACTCCAGGAAGAAAGTAGAAATATATAAGGTAAAGGGTATAAGAATAATGTGTTAGTCTGAATAAACTGTCAGTTTTCCTTAGGGTCTGAGCTAAAGTTAAGGTTTAATAGTATTATTAAAATAAGACTTTATTATTTCTTACATTGGCTAGACAAGTCTAGTGTTCTTTCCACCATGTCACAGCAGAATAAATGGAAGACACTCGCGACCTCCATGACTTCTTGGGTTCTGAGGCCTTCGAGTCTTTCATGAGAGTCCCAAATCCCACAGGCCTCCCCCATCCCACGGCCCCCAAGGTCTACACTCTTTCTGCACTTGCTAAGGGGAGTGAATACAACCAAGGGTCATGACTGGGACTGTTAAAGAAAACATTTGGTAAAACTGTAAGGAAGAATTTACTCAAAATTATTGCAGTAGAGGTCATGAAATAGGAGAGAATAATTGTGTTCAACTCCAAATACAATTAAGTCAACAGAGTGCGGGGACAGTAGATGGATAATTGCTAAGAAGGGGCATCACAGGTAGGGGAGATACTTGCTTAAATACCTAAGAGGATTCTTGCCTAAAGGCAAGTCAAAGATTGAGACATCGTAAGTGGAAGATAAGGAACTTGATCAGATATCAAGGATGGGGAAGACCTCCTCAGCAGGATTCTGCTAAGACTGACTTAGACAGGGCCCAAGGACAAGCCTAGTCGAAAAGAGGACTCTGAGGGGCCTACCTAAGGTTTGGTGAAGGAAGGCCTTTGACAGGAGCTATGGGCCTAGGGTGCCCATCAGGGCTCCCTTATCCTTCCCACACTGAAAGGGAGCCCCTAGGCCCATGCTGGCCCACCACAAAGACTGGGTCTCTCCTTCACCAACACAGATTTCAGCTTTGAAATTAGTAGCGAGAGAAGCTGAGACCTGAATCTGCAAAAATGTGAGCTAAAGAACCAGTACCCAGAATTCCAGGCAAGCTGGAATTCACTTTCCACCCTTTTCTTCCAGAGAAAACCATCCACGTGAAGAAAATCTAAACCCCTAATCAAAGTAAATGTCTAAAGAGAAGTTCTATGCACTCTGAGACCCAGACTTGATAGGGCAACCAGGAAGGAGTGTCACTGGTTTGGGTCCCCCCCAGTTTTCAAAGTGCAGCACACCGGGAATGGAAAAGCTAAGGCAATAATGGAACCAGACACAATACCTAGCATAGTGCTTGGAACAGTGGAGTTGCTTAATTAGTATTTATTGAATAAATGAACTTAAAAGTTCCTTTCTAGCTCTAAAATGCTACTCTATTGAGACGAATGAGCTGACACATGCCATTATGGATGAACCTTGAAAACATTATGCTAAGTGATCTAAGCCAGTCACAAAAGGACAAATACTGTGTCATTCTATTTGCATATGGTACATAGAATAGGCAGATTCACAGAGACAGAAGTAGACTAGAGGTTACCAGGGGCTGGAGGGAGGGGGGATGGGGAGTTATTGCTCAGTGGGTGCAGAGCTTCCGTTTGGGATGACAAAGCTCTGGGGATGGATGGTGGTGATCAATGTGTAATACTGTAAATGTACTTTATGCCATTGACTTGTACACTTAAACGTGGTTAAAATGGTGACTTTTATGATATGTATATTTTACCACTTTTTTTTAATGTTGAAAGGATGTTGGGAACATTTTCCTAAGGATTAATTTTTTTTAAAAAGAGGAAGGGGTACAGCTCAGTGGTTTGCTGCATTTTAGGGCAGCATAAACTGAAGAATTAATTCTCCTAGTTCAGGATTCAAAAAAGAAATAATCACTCCCCAACTTTGCTTCAAACTAGACTTTTAATGGTGTTTATCCCCCAGAGCCCTAATAGGGATGGTCTCGCACATGCTCCATGATTGTCTTCAAGCCAAGCCAGGTCTCTTCGGCTGTGGGTAAGATCTGCTTGGCAGGCAAGAGGAAGCCGTATCTACCCGTGTCTCTCAGTTCAAAGGCAAATGAGTATTTGATGCCAAAGTCATAGGCCCAGTCAATGCTTCCTCCACTGGCTTGGTCTGAAGGGCAAATAAGAATAAAGTCTGGTTATGCCATTGCCACTGGCCTCTCACAGCTATGTAACCTCTATGCTAAGTTCTACTATTATTAAAAAAGGTAAGTTAGGTCCCTATCTGCAAGGTCCTAGAGGGCAGGGATAGCTTAGTAGGGGGTCACGCTTATGAAAAAATACAAGATTAATTTGAAAAGCAAAAGGTGTTATGTAAATGAACACTACAGTTAGGTTTCCTCTGGTGTTCTTAGGAGCCTCTGGCTTCACCCGGCCATTTGGAATCCTGCCTGATTGCCAACTGACATCTTCTACAACATAGGGAGGCCCCCCACTTCCTTCTTTAGAAAAGTGCTGGGCGCAGACTTTGTTTTCTCTAGAGAGAGAGGAGCGTTTATAAGTAGAAGAAAAAATTTGATCCCTGCCCTCAGGGGATTTTCAGTATAAGGGTGAAATAGGCCTTGTTCTGATATCAAATAACATGCCCAGTACCTATGTGTGATGGGTTCACCCAGTAATGTGCATTTGTGTAATGCGTGACCACTGACAAGACAGATGATGAAGGAAGGTGGCATTAGCCTACAAAGACTTAGGGTGATCATGACTCAGAAGAGCTGAATCATGGACTGGCCTCTGAGGCCCTGCCCGGGGAGAGCAGGTAGAGGTCAAATGAAGGAGATAGCTGAGGCAGAGATGGAGGAAGTCACCTAGTCCCCAAGAATGGGGTTGGGCAATGGGAAAGATCAAGGAGGTTGTACCAGGGAGAAGCAGGACTCATGGTTAATATTGTGAATGAGCACTGAACTCCTGAGACTAGTGTCTTTGTCTTCACTCACAGCAGCTATGTAACCTGGTAAATAACAAATACCAAATGATTTCTGACTTGAACTGAATCTTCCTAGGTACCAGAATTACTAACTTATGCCTTTGGTATGGCTACGTGACACAGCCAATCCCACTAAGAAGCCTATAGTGGATGGAATGTTAGCTTCAGACTGAATCCTGACTCTGCAAAACATTAGCTGGCTGACCTAAGGCACATACTTATCTCACTGAGTCCAAAATGCTTCCTCTGTCTAATGGGGATAACAATACTACTAATTTCACAGAGCAATGAGAATTAAATGAAATAATATGATATTTATGATTTCAACACTTGTTGAGCACTTACTAAATGTGATAGGCACTATGAAAAATTGGTTCATTTAATCACCACTTGAGTCAGGAAGTAGATATTAGTATTATTTCCATTTTACAGATGAGAAAACTGAGGTTCAAAGAAATTAAGTGAAGGAGCTAGGATAATGTATGTAGAGTAGGCATTCAATAAATGTCAGTTATTGTTATAACTATGATTATCAATAAATGAGTAGGATCCTATTTTAGAAGTTAGGCCACATTAAGGATAAAAGGCATCTGCAGGAGAGTAGTTCACCAGGAAACTAACACGAAACATTTATATAGTGCCTTAGAGTTAGTGAACACTTTTACTCTACATTCTATCTTTTGAGCCTCTCAACAACCCATTTCACAGATGAAGAAACCAAGGGAAGCCCTGGCTGGTGTTGCTCAGTGGCTAGAGGGTCGGCCCATGCACCAAAAGGTCTCAGGTTTGATTCTAGTCAAGAGCACATACTTGGGTTGCAGATTCGATTGCCAGCCCCAGTCCAGGCACGTGCAAGAGGCAACCAATCGACGTGTCTCTCTCACATTGATGTTTCTCTCTCTCTCCCGGTCTCTCTCTCTCCGCCTCCCTGCCTCCCTTCCACTCTCTCTAAAAATCAATGGAAAAAATATCCTCGGGTAAGAATTAACAGAAAAATAGAATAAATAAATAAATGTAAAAGAAACCAAGGGAGGATGAGTGACCTCCCCAAGGTTACTTGGTGGAGCTGTAACTCAAACCCAGGCCCCTGTTCCAAAGGTCTGTTTTTTCCCCCCTACACTTCTCTGAGAAAGAACTCAAGTAACAACTCCTCCTGGACCAAACACCTATCATAGTGCAGCTCCTCTAGCCCTTTCCAAATGAGAAACTGCCCAGGAACTGTCTCACCCACCACAGAAATCCAGCCACCTCTTGGGTGGAGTGAAGCAGGTGCTCAGCTCAGAGCTGCATACCAGTCTTGGGCAGGAGGCAAAAAGTACTTAATTGGGACTAGCTCCAAGAGGAAGTGCTTGTCCAAGCTGGAATGAGGCCAGGAGCAAAGATAACAGAGTCAGCTCTAGGCAGAGATGTAGCCAGAACTTGCTTGACCACTAATGGTCAGGTTCCCAAAAAACCAGACAGCAAACCCTGTACTTGTCTGATATTTGCTTATTAAAAATGCCTTCAATATCTGTGACCTTACCAAGAAAAGCATACTAAACCTCAGCCTTCCAAGGTCTACCTTACTTGAAAGTACCTCAGCTAAAGAGGGGGGGAAACGAGATTCCTTGTAATAAAATGGCTGGGACACCATTTGAGGGTCTCGGGGGCAGAAGATGCCATTCTGCTAACATTCTGAACTCCAACCT